GCGGCGGGCAGCCGAGGTTGGCCCAGGGCTGGAGCGCACCAGGGCAATGGCTCGGGTTCCCGGGAGCCTCGCGCTGATCGCTACACCGGGTGTGTCCGTACCTCTGTCCCCAGGAGGAGCTGCCCGAGCCCTTTGAGCACCTTCTGCAGAGAATCGCCCGGAGACCGAAGCCCCAGCAGTTCTTCGGCTTAATGGGCAAACGGAACGCTGGTGAGATGGGCAGCCATCCCTCTGTCTCTGCGGGTTATCCGCCCCTCAGAGCACCCAGTTTCTCTGGCTCTTTGAGTAGAGATTTACAGCCTAAAAGGGGTGGTAAATGTCCTGGCGCGGCGCTATCCCGCGCCTCACTACCACGCGCACGTGCCCGCGGGGGGAGGGGGCGCCAGTTGGCACGCCTCGCGGCGTGAGACCCCAACCACCCAGGCCAGGCACCAGCCTTAGCTCCCCTGACTAAAGATCCCAACTGACAGAGCAGAAGGCGGCGCGGGGCCTCCGGGGGTAGCGCTGGGAATGTTCCCAGCGCACGGGGAAGCTGATTATAAGCCACTGAGGTCAGAACAGACGGAGCTGCCCCGTCTCCTGGTAGAAATACTCAGTTTCTTTGAATGCATCACACCGTCAGTGGACCCTGTAAATAGTTAACGTCAATTGCTTCTTGTCAGATTCCTCAGTTGAAAAACAAGCGGCCCTGTTAAAGGCTCTTTATGGTAAACATTTCTATAAATCTTCATTTTACTAGTGTGAATGCACATGTAGAAAAGTAAAAAAAGTCTTTTATGGGCTGAAACACAGGTTCTTGATTATGACTGTTTAATAAAGAGATGGACCTGCGTCTCTTTCTCTCCTGAGCATCCAATGGGCGGCCCTCCTTGAATATGTGCTTCTTAGAGGAAAGCAGAGGTGGTGTTGCTTAACAGTTATTAAAGGCCTCAGGAGCCTCACAGCCCTGGGTTTAAATCTGTAACCCACAGGAAGCACTTAATTTTTTTTTTTTTTTTTTTGCTGTTAACACTTTGTTTTTATTATCAATAATTTGATTAGCATGTATGGTTCTGCTATATTCCTCAGGATAGTATATGAATGAGAAATATTATATATTTTAAAAATCAATTTATTTTATACAATGTGGATCTTTAAAACAAATTTATTGTTTGCTCTTTTATGTTTCTTCTAGGACATGGCCAGATTTCTCATAAAAGTAAGTTCAAAATTATTTTGACATTTATCAAATACAAATGTTAAAAGATCGAATTCCACTTTATATAATACCTGATCTAATTTTCTGTTATAACTTCAGGCTTAATGTTTAATTAAGACAATATAAGAATGGAAGAGACTCATATGATATTTACATCCAGAACATGACTGTTTAAAGCTCTGTGGTTTAGACATATCGTACTTTCCAAAATGATACATTTTATTAAAAATCCTTTAACTCCCAGCTAAACTGCTGCTGAATTTCTGACCCACAGAAACTGTGAGATAATAAATATTTGTTGTTTTAAGCTGCTAAAAAACAACAACTCTAACTCCTATAAATTGTTAGTTTAGCTAAGAATTTCAACCCTAGTGGTAAAAATCCATCACATATTAGCCCCCACCACCCCACAACCATGACTTCCACTGCAAACCAAAAACACAACAAAAAACAAATATTTATAGGTATCTTCTAACTCATTTGAGTACGCTGGATGCCCTCATGATATCACTTGTTAGGGTAATGCAGCAGCCAAGACGCTCCAGTGAATGTCTGAGTAGATAATCCAAACTAAAGATAGAAATGCTGTTTTTTTTATTCCATAACTGAATGGGAAACCTCAATCTAACAAAGCACAGTGAAACATTTCTTAGAATAGTGAAGATGGCAAAATTGTGACACTTGACGGTCATTAGATCCCAGTTTCCCAATTAATGGAACCAGAATTGACAGGCAGTCCCAGGGGTCCGTCTTAATTGTACTATGCACGTAGTTACCCTGGCTTGGATTCTGGTTCACGGGGTGGCAGAGTAGGCCACATTAAGAGAGCAGCCCTATTCTCAACTAATAAACCAAGAGACATTCTCTCATTAGAGTTAAAGTAATCTTTCCCAGAGGCTCCATCTTTGAAACTAAATAAACCATTCATATTAACTTTCTAAGGAGTTGACTTTCAAGGAAATTATATACAGCAAAATTCTATGTAATGGAATTAAATGCACTCTATTAATGCCAAAACTGACATACTTTCCAAAAGGAGTGTTATTTAAAATCCAATAAAATAGAAATAGTGACCTTTTAGAAGTTTATAATTATCAGGTGTAGGGGTCTGACCTAAGTAAGGTTCAGTTCCTGAGAAATACAACATATTCAGTAAAGAGAGGAAATAGGCTTGGGTATCTCACTGTCACACAGAAATGAAATTGACTTCCTGAAAATCAAAGCTAGCTTCAATAGCAACAATATTTAAAACTTTATATATCTAAACAGCTAAAATATAATATGAAAAAGGGTACTTGCTAATATTTAGATACAGAATTGAGAGAAGTGCTTTCATTGTATTGTTTTAGTGTCATTTTTAAGACATCCTCATTTCTTCTGACTCACCAAAACTTGAAATAGATATATATTTATTATATGAGCATATATTTAGAAGCTTGCTTTTTTTTTTTTTTTTCTGGTATTAGTTATAGCAGTTTATTTCCTCAAAGATATACATATTAAAATACCCCTAAATGTATTTTTCCAGGACATAAAACAGATTCCTTTGTTGGACTTATGGGCAAAAGAGCTTTAAATTCTGGTATGTATAAAATCATGACTGAAAAAGAGACAGTATCTTAAATCTACTTGCATTATTTTCTTTCTAAGACATAGTTTTCAAAGTATTAAAAGGGAATAGTGAACTTCAAATAAGTATTTATGGTGAAATATATCTAACTGCAATAAATAAATCCACAAATGGACTTATAACTCACTAAGCTAGTATCACTACAATATCGATCTCTCTCAAACCACCAGCCTTAGCAGTATCTGCCCCATTTAATTATTACCTAGCCTGAATCTTTGGGCTAGTCTAATATTCCTCCCCTGATATCTGTCAGATAAACCACATTTAACCTTACTGAACTAAGGCTGTGGGGGATATAGGAAATAAGATCAATTTTCACTTGTTACCAAGGTAATTTGAAAGTCTTATGAGACTACATCTGGTAGTTTTCCAAGACAAAAATGAATAAGCAAACCAAAATAAATTCATTTATACAAATTACTTGCTCTTCATGAAGTTATAGAAACGCAAACTCTAAAACATCCTGATGAGTTTTATCCCAAGAGTCATATAGTCCATGCCAGTGCCTTCGAAAAGGAATTCAATCAGATCATCCTAGAGATATACATGATCTCTCCCAGCTACAATACCCTTAGGGAGGAGGGATGCCACAATTCTCCTCAAAACCCATTTTCATCCTGGACAACTCTTTCACTTCCTATAAAAGCTGTATGTTTCCTTTCTTCTCATTTGTCTCTCTTTTCCACGCAAATGCCACGTGCTTATATCTGAAAACTCATTCATCACAGTATTTTCAAGGTTAATTAACCCCTATGTCATTTTCATAGAGACTTATTTGTTGCTAAGCACATTCAGACTTTGGCGTCCCTAGTTCAGGTTCCTTGGGAAAACTGTTCAAATTCTCTTCATCTTACATGGAATAAAAATGGAATTAAAATACTAATCATATAATTAATTAGAAAGTAGTAGCTGTCTTATCCATCTAGAATGTTTCAAATTTCTAGAAAATCTGTAACTAGGATGTGCTGGCTTAATGCTTAATTATCTAGAAAGTCATGCAAAAATGATGTCTGCTAGTATTTATATTGGTTTCTCTACCTTCCAAATTTAGACTTCTATGTTTGTATTTCTTCATCAGTAATTTGGGGCTGCTCAAGTTTAAATTTTAAAGACATTACCAGTCTGCCAAATAAAAAATTTAAAATTATTGTATTAATATGCATTATCTCCTGGCTTTTGGAACTGGAAAGTAAATTTAAAGCACACAAGCTTCATTTGTATTAGAAGTGTGCACTAGCCCTTATAGAGCTGAGATTTTCTTGACAATCATATTAGTTTTCAATGCTCCATTTCCAGGATTGATACAAGTTTCAGAACATGCTTAACTTTACAAATAATATAGATACTGTATAATTTAGAACAGATTAAATGCTATTAAATATACTAAAAGTAATCATCTATTATAAATAATAGAATCACTGTAATGAATCAGAATTTATGACTAAATCTTTGTTCCTCCATTTTAGTTAAGAAATATAAAAGGAAAAAATTGGCAAAAATGTAATCCACACTCAACCAGAGATCTTTTCATATACTCGGTTGAGGCAAAGTTATTACCAGCTTCTATGGCCGTCTAATTCTTAGGCTTTTGAGGTCACAAACCCCTCTGACAATCTAGAAAAATCTTGAAACCCCCTTCCCAGAGAAACCCTCCTCACCTCAGACACACACAAGTTTACATAGGGCTTCAGAGGGTCCAGGGACCCAGTAAGAAACTCTGCTTCGAGTTAAGAGGACAGATGTTCCAGCTGAACCGCTCATCTGTCTTCGGTTCCTTCACATCAGCATTCACCTCCCTCCCTGAGGAACAGACTCGGGGTCCCTGCAGCTGGTCAGGCAGCGAACCTGTTAGTTAACGTGAAGAAACCAGGGTGAGAATGAACCCTTTCCTTCCTTCAGAACTGCCCCGTTTGGGGCTCAGACGTGATTGACATAAAACAATCCATTTCTGTTGCCTCACTTATGGGACAGTTGGAGGCTGGGGCTCCTCTGCCTGGTGTTGAAGGGGAAGCGATGCCACTGGAAGCTGGGCCTGCCGTCTCTCTCCACAAGCCTGTTTCACCGGGAAAAGTGTTTGCAGGAGCACCCATGGTTCCTACAGAACTGTCACAGTTCTTTCTGCTATTTCTATTTAAATTTAATATTTTAAACAGGGCATACTGAACTTTTAAAAGCATAGTAGTTCACGATGATGTAAATCTAAGTGTATAAATTTAAGTGCATAAAATCTAAGTGTTAAAATGATGAAAAGTATACTTAAGTATTTTGATCACATCAGTCGGATCCTTACTGTTTTGTGGTTATAGACCCCTTTGAAATTGTATATAATATAATGCAATGTAATAGAATGTTTAATGTTGGCCTTTTTTTTAGTCCAGATAGTCAATGTACTTAAATTACTTGCTAGGTATATATTAAGTACTTTTCGGAGCAGTGATTTACCTTTCACAGGACATTAGGGTGCTAGGAGGTAAGTTAAACTGTGTTGTATTTGATGGCACAGTTGCCCCACCTACAGACCGTGAGGACATTGGGTGGCATCCACAAGACAGGAAGAGAGCCTCACACCATAAGCTACCCCAATAACAGGAATTAGCTAACTTTTTCTCTGAAGAGCCACAAGTAAATATTTTGGGCTTTGTGAGCCATGCCATCTCTGTAACAGCTACCCAGATCTGCCACTTTAATGCTAAAGTAGCCATAGACAATATATGAATGAATGGGCAGGACCATGTTCCAGTAAAATGCCATTTACAAGAAAAGGTGGTAGGCTGGGTTGGCCCATGGCCTATAGATTGTTGACTCTGTCCTAGAATAGAAGTTCCACATTTTGCCTTCACCCTAGGACTATTCCTGATTAATTTAGGCACTGTCCTTTCTATAAATCACCAGCAGTGCCACTGTGTGAGGACACTGCTGAGATCAACATTGCAATATATTGTGAAAATATGCTTTTGGGATACCAAGTAAATGACTGATGACCAAAGTTACCAAGAATTCTGTGGTTAGGCCACTTCCAATCAGGACAGAGACTGAGGCAAGATTGGAAGATGTACCAATAAAACTCTTGGAAATATTTCAATGGAGGGATATAGTCATTATGAGTTTGAAAAAGTCATTATGTCTGCCTTGAAGTTTAATTCCCTCAGTGAGAATCCTCCTAAAGAACCCCTTCTCTTCTCTGTTCTCAGTGGCTTACGAAAGGAGTGCAATGCAGAATTACGAAAGAAGACGTAAATAAACTGCCTAATGTGTTCTTTACCGAGCTTCATTTGTGTCAATGGCCAATAAAAGGTAAAAAAAAAAAAAAAAAAGAGAAATGCACTACGAGGAATAATTAATTATTTATTTAATAACAATCATTGTTTTGAGTTGAAAACTCAAAAAGTGTTTATTTTTCATATTGTGCCAATATGTGCTGTAAAAGTGTGTTATAATTATAATATGATGACTCCCTCAGAAATAGAAATCAGTGGTAATTTCTCAATAAAGCACAGTGTTCAATGAAATTGTAAAAACCTGCCGACAGCAGTCTCTGAAAAAAGACATCATTTTTGTTTCTTGGGGCAATCACGTCAGCTCCTGCTGAAGGAAAGGAAACTCACAGACAGGCCTGCGCTTCTCCGTTTGTTTTCATGGTGAAAATGTACTGAGATTTGGTATCAAACTATATTTGTATCCCTGCAGCATGTTTTATGTTTTGTGACTATATAGAGATGTTTTAAAAACTTTCAATGTGATTCTAAGGTCTTCATTTCATTGTACAATGTGTTGTGATAGTTGACATTTTAAATAAAAGAAAAAATATCTTGAGAATTGGGCCTTATTTTTTCATTAACACTTAGGTCAAATCCACAACCTTTCTTTTAGTAGATGATATATGTTCAAAGCTGTTTGGCTGACAAATACTGAAACATAAAGCTACTCAATTTCTCTTTCTTAAAGCAAATGACTAAAATGTAATCTCAATTTCTCTCTCAACACACACACACACACACACACTTTTTTTTCAATGGCTCGGTCATTTGGCATGAGATCATTCATAGAGAAAACAATTATATTTTGGAATCCAAAGAGTAAAGTCTGAGTTCTGTTTATACATGCCCATGATTCCCTTTTACAAATAGGATAATCTACTTTAAAGACGCATGTCCCTGATTATATCCTTGTCGGGTGAAACAGCAGCACACATGCCCATCTCAGACCTCCTCGGATCCCAGGTATAAGTTCACTAGAATGAAGACACCAAATGAAACTCCGAAAAGGTCATCAGAAGATGATACACGAAGATGGGGGGAAGGGACTGATAACATGACATCACCCCCATAACAAAGGCAAGAGCCCCTTTCTGGCATTTCTAAGGAGTGCCTGGGAATTGCTAACATCCAGACACTCTGCACCAGAAAGATGCGCATCAGGAATAAATACAGAGCAATCTGAGGGGGGCTCGTGTTTATTTATTTAAGGGAAAGGATTGATAAATGTCTCTGGAACCATTTCCTGATTGCACAGAGAATGTAAAATATTGACAAGTGGTAAAAAGAACTCAGGACAAGCATGGTTTGGTGAAATAAAACTCCATGAGTTTAGCTTGGATGACTGACTTTTGTTGATCCATATTAAAACCATTTGTAGCACAGGGGAGCTAAAGCTTATTTTAACCTTTCTATCTTTAAATGAATAACTTGTCTTTAAAAAAGCTCCAACTGCCTAACCGGTGTGGCTCAGCAGTTGAGCATCAACCTATGATCCAGGAGACCGATGTTCAATTCCCAGTCAGGACACATGCTGGGTTGTGGGCTTGATCCCCAGTTGGGGGGTACAGGAGGCAGCCGATCAATGACTCTCCCTCATCATTGATGTTTCTATCTCTCTCTCTCCCTCTCCCTTCCTCTCTCTGAAATCAATAAAGACATATTAAAAAAAAAACACAAAAAACCCTCCAAGTTCATTTTCCTTATCACACAAAATATCTAAATATTACAAATTATATTATAATAAGCAAAATGGAGAAAATTAGTCATCTAAAGCCCCATTCCTCAGCAGTATTGTTAAATGTTCTATTTAACAATAGCAATAATTGTAATATATAATAATCATAATAATAATAGCTATCATTATATAGTCATGGACCACATAATGACATGTTGGTCAACAGCTGGACTGCATAAACCATGATGGCATAAATTACGATGCCATGGTGGTGTCATAAATTATGATGGCGCTAAAAATTCCTATTACCTAGTGACATCCTGGCTGTCATAACATCACCCTGCACTACCTTACTCATGTGTTCACGGTGATGCCGGTGTAAATAAACCTGCTCTGCCAGGCATATGAAAGTCTAGTACATGCAGTTATGTACAGCGTATGATCTTGGTCATGATAAGAAACAACTGTTTCTGGTTTATGTACTTACTATACTGTGATTTCTATCCTTATTTTAGAGTGTACTCTTTCTGCTTATAAAAAAGTTTGCTATAGAAGAGTATGCCCTGTTATGCCAGCAGCAGCCCCATACGTCTTGTGTTGACAGTGTCTACTGATTGCATCATTTTCTCTTGTGCTTGATTTAATCTCATGGTGCTTCGCACGGTAACATGCTGTCCGCGGTTGAACCCTAGGGGCATTAGGCTCTAGCATATAGCCTAGGCGTGTAGTAGGCTATGCCATCTAGGTTTGCGTAAGTGCCCTCTGTGATGTTCACATGATGGCAGAATCACATAACGACTCACTTCTCAGAACATATCCCATCACTAAGCAGCACATGACTGTACAGATTTAATCACTCAGTGAGGGAAGTATTATTATCATCATCATCATTTTGCAGATGAGAATATGAAGCTCACGGAAATACTGGGGTCAGAGATTATACTATGAGAGGAGTCAAGATTAGAAAAAAATTATTAAGAGGATATAGCAAAGCAAATTCATATCTAACAATGAGATTGATTAAGCAAACTGGTGCATTGATACAACTCCCATGGTGTATTTAGTGACATGAAACGAAATGGCATGGCGTATTTAGCGACATAAAACATATGTGGTGTGTTGTTAGGCACAAAGCAATATTTCTGCGTTCTATATACATATATATTTCTGCATAGATATTATAACAACAAGGAACAATGTAATTATCCATTACACGAGACTCGGAGCCCTTAATGCTGCCCACACGGGTGAGCAGCACAGACATGGCACCAGAGCAGGTGGAGAAAGCTGGTGGGTGCCTTGGAGGTGGAAAAGGGAGACGCCCAATACGCCATGCACTCCATTATTTTTGAATCAAAAGAAATGAGCAAAAATTCAAATAAAGAAATGATATGGACCCATCCAACAAATACACAAAAATAATTTGAGCACATACTGAAATCTTCTCTTTTAACATCATTATATATTATTTTTAAATTCTATTTTTAAAGAAATTAATAAATACATTGGGATTTATAAAACAAACAAACAAAACCAGAGTAAGGACTTTTGGTGGACCAGAAAGCACACGGGAAGCCCCAGTGGGAAGCCCTGAACCTGGCGGGAAACTGCTGGAGGCCGCAGAAGGTAGCAACCCTGGGTGGGGAAATGACCACTGCAGAGCAGAGACACACTTCTAAGCAACAACAGTGTGTGCCATGAGATACGGGAACAAAATCTAAAAATTCTTAAGGAAAATAACCTTTAGCCAAACTATCATTTAGCAAAGACGATGAATCGGTGAAAGAAAAACCAACTAATAGCCATTAGCTTAAGCCATTACTAAAACCATCACAGCAGAACAGCTCAGGACCGTGGGTCTGCTACACAGCAGGCGGCCTAAAGAACTTATATTGACTGTCAGGTGAGTAAAAAAGAAAATCCAGCCATTATTATTGACCAGAGACAAGCCTGAGAAAAGTAATGTAGAATTGATGAAGAGAAACACTAAGCTCCTCAACAGAAACATTTAAAGATTAAAGAGAAAAGAGAGGTACTTATAGACAAAAAGGGACTCAAGAGGCACATCAACCAGTTGCAACATATGGGCATCCTTTGACTCCTAGTTAAACAAATAAACTAAAAAAATATTATGAAACAATTCGAGAAGTTTGAACAATGGATATTTGATGACAATAAGGAATTATTGTTAATATTTAGACATGATCATTTTATTCAGCTACAGTTAAACAATATATGAAGTACAGTCCTCGACCTCAAGAAGCTCATAGTTAGTGGGGGAGATACACAGGCAAAAAGTTATTAAAATACAATAAGACTATACTAGTGATCAGTGAAAAGTTATTGTGGGAATGCAGATAGGGAACCGTCTGGGAGGCTGATGGAATGAATCTTGAGGGATAGGAGTCAAAATATGAACAGAAACGAGAAAGTGTAAAAGAACAGGATGTGTGCTAAGGAGTGCAAATATTTAAGCATGATTACAGCTCAAAACAAGTGGTGAGAGATGAGGCTGGAGAAACAGAATCTTTTTGGATTCCATGCTAAGGCTAATGGACTACCTGGTTGATTTTTAATTATTTTCAAGATAGAGAAATTTCACTGAAGAATTACAAACAGGTTTCTCTTTTGGAGATAAAAAAGAGATAGGATACTTTGGGAGAAAATTTGTCTTGCTTTGTAAATATCATCAAAATGGATCCTTTATCACAGAAATATTAAGGAAGCACTGAACTTGGGCTAAGTCATGTGAAAGAATAGTGTTATCACACAAAATGCACGATTGCACATTGTTTGAGTTTTATAAGGGAAATGTCAGGAATCACCATATTAAGAAAAACTCTACTGAGAAAGTTTAACTCTCTTTTTTAAAAAAATAGATTTTGCCTTTATTTATTTATTTTTAATCTTCACCTGAGGATATTTTTTCAATTGCTTTTCAGAGAGAGTGGAGGAAAGAAGGGAGACAGGGAGCAGAGAGAGAGAGAGAAACATCGACGTGAGAGAGACACACTGGTTGGTTGCCTCCCACATGCGCCCCAACTGGGGCCGGGAGAACCTGCAACCCAGGTTCATGCCCTTGACCATGAATCAAACCCAAGATCCTTTGGTCTGGGGCCGACCCACTAACCACGGAGCCAAACCGGCCCAGGTTAACTCTCTTTTTTAAAAAGATTTATTTATTTATTTTTTTAGAGAGAGAGGAAGAGGGAAAGAAATAAACCCAGGGCAAATCAACAGCTCCTTAGATAGGAGGAACGCACCTCAATAGAGGACATTTCCAGCAGCTATTACCTTTCCTCAGTCCCCTAAACTTTGTGTGGATTAATCTCAATTCTTTAAAATACTTACCTGTGTTGTCCCTTTCCTCAAAGCTAGTTTACGTACACATAAGAAAAATATTTTCTAAAATAAATCAAGGTATAGAGATAATTTCTAATCTATGCTTTGTTGAGTCATTATTTGGCATAAAGAAATATTTAGGGAAGTTAGAAACTTCCTCTACTACTATTTCATCAAATGGTATTCTCTCCTAATGCCCATTAATGATCTCTTCTAAATAGGGATTAAGTCTATTAGGTAAATATATCAATCTGCACTTGCAGTCTTTTTCCCAATCCTGATTCAATTGTGTTAGGTTATAAAAATGTATTCTATAATTCCACATAAATATTTTTTAATTTTTTTAAAAAAAATCCATTGTAACGGCTTCCTTAGTGCCAAGTATTTTATGTCACTGCAACCCATAATGATGGAGGTTGGGTTACAATTTCAGAAAGGTAAGAATGATGTTACATTACTCAGGCACAATAGGTCAGAAAGATTGGTTCATTCACTCACCTATTTATTCACTCACTTGTCTATTCATTTATTCATCATAT